TTCCACAAAGATGGCATGAGCACAACAATAAGAGTTTCAAGAAAAATTAAGTATGGTACCGACAAATATTGAAAAAAACAGATTTTTCCAAACAAATATGGTTCTTCTCCCAGCCATTTTTCTCATCCCCCACTTTCAACTGAACTCATATCCCCAAGCTAATAGTATATTTGAAATGTCTTAGCTTAATTTCAGCAACTGTGAAAAACCAAAAATTTGAACACGAATTACACCCGAAATGTCCCAAGAAACGAAATCCTGATCATGAATGTTATACTTGAAATGTCCCAAAAATCGAAATCTTGATCATGAATTATGCCCAAAACGTCCTAATTCAATATCAACAGCCACAAGTCTGACCATAAATTTTGGCTGAAATGCCCTAACTCAATCCCAACAGTCCTGGAGAATCAAATATTTGAAACAGCCAATCCTAAAAGCTAAATTTCGTCGCTTTCAAACAGCAATGCCTTAAATATTTGCTGTCTTTTATCACAAAATTCGCCGGTTTCAAACAGTATCTACTGTTACGACAAGAGAATTATTCAGCACAAATCACTTCTGCCAATAAAAAATACCACTTCTAATTAATTCAGAAAAAAGTGGACTTTTTCATTTTCTATTGGAATTCACTGGATCTTTCGGAATGATAGTTCATTTTTTTTTTACAAAATCTGATGTGTCCCTAAATAAGCATTAGGAGGGTGAATTTCAATAAGCAGATTACTGGATTAAATTAGTGGATTAAATGCTTAGAGAGCAACAAATACGATGTAGTACAAGGAAGAATAATAGACACACAACGCACACACACACACACACAGTGCACAAAAAACACACACATACACACACATATTAAAAAAGCACAATCAGTATATGGCAGACAAAAAAATTTTTTCACATTATTATCATATCAGTTCCATTTTTCTTCACAAGAAATAACACTGACAAGGAAAAAATGAGTATTATGACATGCTAATGATAATGATTCGAGCAAAAAAACATGAGTAAAAAGGCATCGATCAATCCAAAAAATGGCCAAGAAATACGGAAGTGACCACTAGGGTCCTGATTAATGGTCCACCACTGACCATTGTCCACCCGAGGACAGCAGTACGTATATCGAGATCGTCACAATATGTGTTTTTGCATTTGCATATGTATGCAAAAACCGCATAAAAACATGCACAGTCAAGGAATTTCACGAAAAAAAACCCCCTGGACTTGTGCAGTAGAAGCGAAATAATTAGCTCAGGGCCAGAATCGTAATTCCAGCGGACAGAAATAGGAAAAACAAAAAATACGAACTAAAATTTTCACGAAATTCTCAACAAAGAATTCATGGTGCTAATGCTACCAGTATAATGTCTTGTCAAAATCCCTCCTCAGAATCTCGTGCGCCGATCATTCTACATTGGTACATGTGAGAAAAGATATGAAACTGATTCGCCATTGTGTGTACGTCGAATTGCTTCGGCCAGAATCATTGAAATATCGATGCACTGAAAGCATAAAAATGGCAAAAAGAAAAATAATTTACCCAAAATATCACTGAGCACCTGTCTGTTGACGAAAAAATGAAATATCATAAATAGCCTTTTTTTTTCTTGCTAATAGCATTTTCTTTTGTAAAAAAAAGAAAAACCTAAAAAAATAAAAAGTCCAAAAAAAATTTTGATGCCGAAAAATCGATATTTCTTCCGTATTTTTAGATTTCATGAGAGCTTGAAAAAATCAAAAAAAAAAAAGAAAAAGCCCAAAAAAAAATTTCGATGCCGAAAAATCATTATTCCTTCCGTATTTTAAGACTTCATGAGGGCTTGAAAAAAATCAAAAAAAAGTCGAAAAAAATTTCGACGCCGAAAAATCGTTTTTTTATTTCTTCCGTATTTTTAGACTCCACGAAAGTTTTTGAGACAATCTGTAGCGCTTCGTAAAAGCTGCTCTATGCCGGGGCAAATAGCCATTTATTAGACCTCCGATGGTTATCCGCACTCGGCTTGTGTAAGATAAAAACCGTTTAACTCCAAGTCTCTTAGGCAAATAGCCACCAAATTACAAGCAGCGCTGCCCTGTGCTACGGGTAAAGGGTTTGACTCTGCCAGTCGAGCAATTAAG